ATCATTTAATATTGGTGGTCTACCGCTTCGGGCAGCAACTGTGGTTTGGCCAAACTCTTTATATTTTTGTATGACGTTATGAACTGTAGATTTGGGTCGTCCTAGAGTTTCTCCTATTTTTTGTTCGGAAAAACCACACCTCCAAGCGCCGACTATCTCGCCGCGCTCAAAATCCGTAAGTTGGCAATTTCTGCGAGTATTGGTTGAGTTTGACATATTTTCTTATATCGTTTTAAAGCTTAAGATTTTAGCTTTCTAAAGAGCTATTGAACGTTAAAATTGGACGTCTGTGTGTTGCGCAAATAACGATGCAACTCACCCCTTTTTATTTATGTCGATCACCCCCGATTCCAAACTTTTGTCCAGTGAGTGTACATGTACACGTATTCTAATTTGTGATTCACGGAAATCATCATCACTATCGCTATTGTAAAAAAAACTGTACATGTACATGATATATTGATATGTAACAAAAGTTGCATGTCACACATAGAATCATACATGTGTAGCTACAGAACATTGTGGACAGTTTAAAATTTAAATATTCTACCAAGTTAAATAAGCAAATTATTAAAATAAAAATAAAAATTTTAAATTCTTGAAAAGTTTAACGTTAAGCTTTCAAACAAAAATAAAAATCTGTACGGTATCACATGAAAAAGAACGCATTTTATTTGTACAATATGCAATACAGTATCTCATGATCGTGATCACCATCCACATATTATGTAACATGTACTGTACATCGTCAATATGCAATATCTCATGATCGTGACCACCATTCACATATTATCATTATGTCTTTTATAAACATGTACATTGATCACTGAGATATCGCATACATATTGATATTATAAAGTGTTCACAATATTCTGCTAGGGGCTTTATATAACGACAACGATTATCTCGTTTCTTTTATATCATTTCAACCAATTCACGCATTTCTTCCACTGAACTCAAGATGGAATCAAATGCTCATCATTGTAATAAATGTCAAGATATGTACATGAACTATTATGAGTGTACTACTCATGATTGTTTAGACTGTTATGAATGTCAAGATGAAGATGATTGGTGCTATGACTGTTTCTATTATCACAAACGAATTTATAACGATGAATTGTCTACTGGAGATGAAGATATCGACAATCTAATAAAAGAATGCAACAAAATTAATACTAAGGATGCTGCTGGTTTTACTGAATTGCATGAATTATTCGAATGGATTCCTTTTGAAAGACTTACCAACGTTGAATACCTTGCAAAAGGAGGTTTTGAGTCAATTTATAAAGCAACCTGGTTGGATGGACCATTGGATGGTTACAGACCCAAGTGGGATCATGAAGAAAATAAATTTAAAAGAAGAGATAAAATTGAAGTTGTGTTGAAATCATTGCACAATTCAAAGTTAATTACGTCAGAGTTTATACACGAGGTAAAAATGAACTTTTTGAACTTGAAGGTTTTTTTATTCTTCTGATACTATCAAATTTTCAAAAATAGATTATGATTGCTCTCAGATGTACTTTTTATATTGAGTATTATGGAATAACTAAAAACCCAGTTACAAATGAATATTCGCTAGTGATGACTTATGCAAAAGATGGTGATCTCCGTAAATATATTAATTCCAACTACGAAAAATTAACTTGGAATCAAAAATTAAGTTATTTAACTGAGATTAACTATGCACTAACAAATATTCACGAATTAAAGTTTGTACATCGTAACTTTCATCCCGGCAATATATTATTAATAAATAATACACCCGAAATTGTTGATTTTGGATTTAGCATTCCAACAAGTATAGAAAAATCTAACCAAGAAATATGTGGAGTACTTCCTTATATGAGTCCAGAGGTGCTAAATGGAAAGCCATACACCGAAGCTGCAGATATTTATAGCTTTGGAATGGTTGCGTACGAGGTCGTAACATGTGAGCGACCATTTGGTGAGCGAAATCATGATCGAAATCTCGTATTAGACATCGTTAAAGGAGTACGACCTAAGATACCGAATGATGTTCAAAGATTTTTCAAATTTGTTATTGAAAAATGTTGGGATCCTATTCCAGAAAACAGACCAACTGCTATTGAACTTTACGGCTTTCTCTGCTTTCATGACGACCGCCTCTATGTGAATTCTTTGCATTTTCGGTACTACAGCTCTTTAGAGTATCCTAGAACACTTGAAGATATTTTAAAGTATGCTAGTCTAGAGAGACAAAAATTAAAAGAACTTGATAAGGAGATGAAATCACAGAAAAGGATTCCTGCGAATATAAACTCAAATGCAATTTACACCAGTCGAATTTTTACTTCAAAATTAATATCAATCCCAACTGATACAGGTACGCACATTTATTTTATATTCAAAATGGCTTCATATTGATTTTTTCATATCCGAATATTTAGGTTCTACAATCATTAGTTTGTATGTTCCGAATGAAGGTAAAATCTATATTTTTGAAAAAATGCAATAAAATCGATATTAAAAATACTATGTTTGCATGCGATACAGATGACGACGCCAAATCAACAAGCGCTAGTTTAAAAGAGATCCATGATTGTAGTAAATGCACTCGTTGTCAAGAAAACGATCGTTGCAATGAATGTTTTGATCATCATTATCAACTTTATAAAGCCGAATTATCTAGCAAAAACAAAGATATCGACAGTCTAATAAACGAATGCATGAAAATCAGAAGTCATTTCCAATGGATTCCTTTTGAAAAATTTACCAATGTTGAATATCTTACAAAAGGCATTTATATTGCATCTCTATGCTCTTACAAGTGGGATCATGAAGAAAATAAATTTAAACGATCTAATGAAGACAAACGTGAAGTTGTATTGAAATTACGTGATGTAAAGCAAATTATAAAAGAGGTAGAAATTGTACAATTTTTAATGTGCAAACAAAACTTTTATTCTAATTAAACTATCAACAATAGGTTCGGACTGTTTTAAAATACAGTGATCATTACTTTGGAATATTTTATTATGGTATAACAAAAAACCCAACTACGAATGAATACTCAATAGTAATGGGTTATCCAGAAAAATTCATAATGGCAGGTCAAAATTACTGCCTTCGCAAATATATTAGTTCCAACTGCGAAGAATTGACTTGGGGAGAAAAATCAGAATACTTACTTTGTATTATCACGGCTCTAAAGAAAATTCACAATCTGAAACTTGTGATTAATGATTTTCACCCTGGAAATATATTATTGCCTATTGATGCTTTTATTGCCGATTTTGTCCTTACTGACTCAGCAGAGATAAAAAATCGAGAAATTTACGGAATACTTCCTTATACGAGTCCAGAGGTATTAAAGCCTTACACTAAAGCTGCAGAAATTTATAGTTTTGGGATGGTTATGTACGAAATTGTAACTGGCAATACACCATTCGGTGAACGCAAGCATGATAAAGATCTCGTATTAGACATCTATGAAGGAGCACGACCTATAATAACAAATAATGTTTCCGGATGGTTCAAATTTATTATTGAAAAATGTTGGGATCCTATCCCAGAAAACAGACCAACTGCTGATGAACTTGGAGACTTTATTGACTCTATCGTCAATGAATACATTCTTGAAACGAATACGTTGCATTCTCAGTATTACAGCTCGTTAGAATATCCTAAAACAGATAAAGAAATTGAGGAATGTCATATATTAGAATGTCAAAAATGGAAAGTACTTGATGAAGAGATGAAATCGCAAAAAAAGCATTCCTAGAATAAAAACAAAATAAGTCACTCAAATGCAATATATACCAGTCGAATTTTTACTTCGAAATTGATTCCAGTTTCTACTGGTACAGTAATTCAATTTATACTTTCATATTAATTAAAAAGTTTGTTCTATACGAAGTTTAATGTTAATGTAAGTTTTTAAATGATTCATTAATTCAACGTCTTCTCTTTGGTGGTGCAAAACAGGATCTGGATAATGAGGATTTGTCGAGTGACTTGTAGGATAACACGAACCAAATGTGATTTCAATTTACGCGCGTACATTTATTATTTTTATAATTTCATAAATGAATAAATCATTGAAAATTTACATTTCTTTTCAACCATGCGAAATCAATTTGCAGACTGATGTTTTTTATACTACTCACTACTCATACGTCAATTAAATTTATTACCTAGTTGTTCTTGTACACATCTCAAAACACTTTGTTGTTCGTATTATACATGTATATGACGTTGATGTACATCATAATTTTATTTAAGGATTTTTGAGTCTTAAGGCTTTAGCTAGGAAAAGCATTGATTGAATTGGATTCAGTTAATAAAAAATGGTTTATATAAAATATAATCTTCCTCTTTTCACCTCCACAAAATATCTTGTCTAAACTCAAAATTTTTCTAAATTCCATAATGTTCACACCAATCGTTTATTTCCCGTGTTCTTTTATATTGAGATATTAATATCAGTAAAAGAATTAGATTTAAACACTTACATCAAATCCCTGTTATAAGTAAAATCTCCAAATTCCTCTGCGAACGTACCAACTGTGATAGCAATTTATACCCTTCTCTTAATCGATGAAATATCGATATGACAGTAAGTGATATACCCCTTCTAAATTCAACAAAAATAAAAGCTAAAATATATTTACTAGTTCTAAACTAATACTATATTATACTTTTTATTGAACTTAATTATCGCTATATTTTTCAACACTTTTTGGAAAGATAATTTCTTTTACTATTTGCATTAAAGAATGACCACCAATTAACTTAGTTTTGCGATCAATTGCTAATGAAAAATTATGGTATATTGTCATTAAGTTGTTATAAAAGATATCTTATATTAATTTTATACAGTATGCTAATAAATATTTAACTAGCATATTTTTATATGTATTATTACTGATAGATAAGATATAAAGCAGCAAATTATCAACTATATCGAGGAATACAGAAGGTATTAAAATAAAAAATATGCACATACAGTGCATGAAAAAAAGTCGCCAACAACATGATTATTGATTATTTATTTATTTACCTTTAAAACCTGTTATATCAATCATTTTATCATTAATTTATCTCTAATTCTTTGTCATGTATTGCCAAGACACTTTCATATAAGATATGGTTAATCAAAAAAAAAACTTTCTATTTTTGAATGAGAGAAAATTATTAAAGTTTGAAAATATAGTTTTAAAGAGAGAGAAATTGCTGAGACTTTAAACCATCCTTGCACTACTATTCATGACATTATTTCTAGTTACAGATACTATGAATATAAAGTTCCAGCTCATAGAACTGGCAAATTATCAACAATAAATAAGAGATATTTGTTATTTAATAAATATTCTTAAAAATTAAATCTTGAAGAATTAATAAAGATTTTACCAGTTTAATCACAAAAAATATTAGTAAAAAAACTTTAAGTAAATATTTTCATAAACAAGATTTTTATAATCAAGTTGATGTTAGAAAATTATTTATAAGTGAGAAAATAGAATAAAAAGACTTATCTGAATCAAAGAATAAAGTGAATAGACAGATGAATAGAAAAGAGTAATTTGAAGTGATAAATTCAAGTTTGAATTATTTAGAAAGAATATAAAAGATTGATTTGAAAGTAGTCTTATAAAAAATATAATACAAATTATTTAATTTTTGTTGTAAAATTATATTAACAAGAGATAATAATATAAAGATAATTTACAAATATACTCTTAATTTATTAATAAAATTAAATAAAAAAAGAATGATTATAATATATATAAATATATTAAAAATTTACTTATTATTTTTAGATATCTTGAATAATTCAAAAAATTATTTATTTTAAAAAGATAATATAGTGATCATTATAAATAACAAGAATTGTTATGATTATAAATTTTGCAAATTTTATTCATTTGACTTATAATTTTACAAAAATATAGATCAAATATAGGTATTCAAAAAATGTATATATCTTTGTTTTTAAAAGTTTCAGATTAATTTAATATGATTAAAAGTACTTTGAAGAAAATATTTTTTTTCAACTTAATATTAAGTCATCACAGATAATTCAATTCAAATTATTTATTATTAGATATATACTGCAGGCTTTCATTTTTCAGCATTATAAAAAAGAAATTATATTAATAATCATGATATTGTAACTTATTGTGAAAATTTTCTGCAAGAAGTTACTATATTTGATTACTTAATGTCAAAATGACTTGACAAAGATTACAAAGTATAAACTTTTTCAATATTAGCTGATGAACAAAAAGAATATATATAAATAACTCATGATGAATCTATTTTTCACGCTTATCCTCATGCTGTGTGGATCCAAAAGAAGAGCAATCTTTGTGTAAAAAAGATCAAGAACAAAACATATATGCTAGTGATTTTTTGACAGAAATAATTGATCCGCTTAAAGACAATTTGGATGAAGCAAGAGTTACAATGATTCGTGAAGCCAATTATAATGGATATTGAAATAGTTATTTTTGAACGAATATATTCTAACTGTATTAGCATTTTTGCTTTTGATAATGCCACCTTTCATATAGCTTGCTGAAGATGCTTTAGTTACATTAAAAATGAATTTGGATCCAGAAGGAACAGTTCCAAAAATGCGCAATACAGCTGGAATGGACAACAACAATCAATAATTATTAAGCAAGATTATTTTATTTATAAAAAAAACAAACCAAATATTAATCTTCGTGGAAAACCAAGAGGAATTCAATGAATTCCTAGAGAATGAAATCTATGGCATGATGAAATGGTATTGGATTGTATTTTATGCAAAAGCAAACAATTAAATCTTGATATTATTGATTGTTGTGCTTGATAATTGATAGTAAATCAACCAGATTTCTTAGCTCAACATGGAAAAATTCAACAAATAATCGAATTGCAAGGACATAAGGTAAAAATCATTTTTATTTTTTTTTAAAAATCAATAATATTAATCAAATTTATTTATTATGTTGTTTTTTATCTTAAATTTCATCCCGAATTCGATTATATCGAAATGTATTGGGGTGCAGTAAAAAATATACACAAACAAATTGTGAATATTCATTGCCAAATTAATACTTTCTGAGGCTTTTGATTCAATTTCATTGGAAACAATTCGTGCTTATGCAAGATTATTATTTAGTTGGATGAATGCATATCGATATGGATTACAGGTAAACTTGCAGAATATGTGGTTAAAAAATATAAATCACATAGCGATAGGAGTATTAATGAAGAGATTGTGAATTACATACATGATCGTAGCATTTATGAGCAATCTAAATCTATTTTTAAAAAATTTGAGTATTAGAAACAAAATGCAACTTCACTTTAGAAAATGTTCATTTTTTACCTCGTATATAAACCCTGGAGTAATTTGCTTAAAATAATATAAAAATTTTAACACATTATTACTTTTCTCCACTTCGTTTAAATTTATTTCTCCATGATCCCATTTGGAATAGTATTCATATTGTATTGGTCCATCTAACAAGGTTGTTTTATAAATAGACCAAAAATGTCCTTTTGCAAGATATTCAATGTTGGTAAATCTTTCAAAAGGAATATTTTTTATATTTTCTAAATTTGTTGCATTCTTTTATTATCTCCGCTAGATAATTCATCTTTATGAATTCGTTTGTGATAATCAAAACAAACTAATTCAGTGTTTATTTTTTGACAATCAGTACATTTTACTAACGCTAATATTAAAGCGAGATATTTTCGACTAAAATATTTCGATTTTTAATCAGTTTCAAGTAAATTATGGGATTCGATATCATCTCAACTATTCATGAAAAAATAAAGTCATTTGCTTTAATAGTTTTTATTGCAAGGAATAAACAAAACATCGTAATTGAAAATATTAATTTCAAATTTTTACAATTATCTCTTAATTCTAGTATTAACATTAGGGAATCGGAAATAGAATCGAACTTTCTATTAAATGTATTAGATTCCTTAGTGATACAGTTCCAGAAGATACGAACAAGAAAATTACTAATATAAAAATTTTTCATTTGAGGATCAGTATGCAGCTCGAATATTTCTAGCTCAACGCTGACACCAATGGTATTTAGTTCGATAGACATTTCTGGTACCGAATATTTACGATGCAAAAAACAGTGACATTATTTATTTTTTATTGAAACAAAAATAGAAAATTTTACTATAATGTTTGATTATTCATATTACATAGTTGCCAAAACATGCATAACGAAAGAAAAAATATACGTTTAATTCTATCTTTGAGGTAATTAAAAATCGTGTGAAGCATTATACAGATAATCTTATCTCTTACTCTAATCAGTCCTTAACCGTAATTTCAAAATCAAGTTTAATATATAAAGAGCAAGTTATGTGTGTATACTGTATTTGTAAAGGAATAGGAGCTAGGTACCAACTAATGACAAATTTTTATCGAATAATGTTCCAGAAAACGGACCAACTCCTCGGAATCTTTACGACTTCTATATGCGACAAATCAAATCCTTTTGCATCTACAGCTCTTGTGAATATCCTAAATCAAAGAGTATCATAAACTAGAAATTTTTGAGATGATGAAACATTCCTATTAACATAAACAAAATCAGAATTTTTATCACAAAATCAATTACAATTCTGAACGATTGCATATTAATTGAGCTTTATAAGTGAAGATAAAAATTACATTTGATAATATTTTTTATCCCACGTTCTATTATTTACTCATGATGAAGTTAGCGATGCTTATATTTATAAAGTTAAAAATTTTTTAAATTCAACTTTTGTATACGATACTTATAACCCCAGAATTATATACCTTAATTATTTTTATTATTCCAACGATATAATATTATAAAAAGGTATCTAAACAAGTATAAAATTAAAATACTGTTTCGAAATGACTATTTAAATGTAATATCAACATCTATATTACCAATTAAGATTTTTGGTAAAGAAGTGGTGAAATTTTTTCAATTATGAATATGATAGGCTTAAATCTTGAATTCTTTTGTAAAGAATTATTGGGTAAAGATGTCAATAGTTTACGAATTGCACTGGGCGATCCAATGATACTGCACCTTGCATAATCTCACAGTAAAAGTTATCGTTATATGACATTATACCAAGAGCTCTATATCCAGAAAATACCATAATTTTTTCATTCGATATATTTAATTCTGTAAGAATTTGAATAGTAATTCTTCTTAGACTAGTTTTAATACCTGAAAGTTCACAGATATCATTAATCAAAAATTAAATTAACTCAAGATAATAATTTAAATAAAGCTCAAAAAGTGATGGATTATTATATGAAGAGATTGGTCAAATATTAATTACAAAAAATTAAATCAATATCCATTATATACAATATCTATTTTGGCTCTACTTATTATGTGGAATAAGTGGTGATGATTATCAAAGACTATAATTTACTTATGTACAATCAACAAGTTATCTAAAGAGAAAAATAATGTAGAAGAATAAAAAATATTATTCTGATTGAGTATATATTATTTCATCTGATTTAACAGAAAAATTTAATCCAGTCACAAATATTATTATATAATATAACCAGTATTGACACTTGAGCAATTTTGAACAAAAATTTATTAGTAATTTAATTTTATAGAACTGATCCAGAAAATAATCTTGGATATAATAATCAAGAAATTATATATGTACTTTATTTTTTCTTCATATAATAACTAAAAAAGATAAATAAATAGCATTATAAAATATTTATTAATTATTTATTTATCTTAATAATATTAATTTAATTAATATATAGTATTTATTAATAAAATATATTTTGCTGCTTTATTTTTGAACTGATATAATCATAAAAAATACAGATATAAATTATGAAAATAAAGCTTTATTAAAAGATTAAATTTGAAATTTAATATTAAATTCTTTTAAAAATATTTATTAATCATATAATAATAATTATATAATAAGATAAATATATATAATAATTAATTAGATTTATATAAAGTTACAAAAAATTTAATTTGAATTAATTA